TTTTTCTCCCAAATACTGTAGCTTATTTTGTAAATAACTTTTATTATATTGGTCTTACTATATAAGAGTCTCCTTGTGGTGCCTCATTATATGCTGATTTTTTTCTGATGGTCTTCTGAATCCCTTCTTGCAGAACTCACATCTGTGTGGATAGTCTTTTGTATGTATTTAAATCACATGCCGTTTAAAGCCAGATGAATCTGTGGTGCTATAATCACAATATTCACATTGGTAAATCTTCCTTCCAGTATGCGTCTTCATGTGCTTTTTGAGTTCATTCTGTTGTCTGAACCCTCTCTTGCACCTTTTACACTTCAGTGACTGATCCTTAGTATGAACTGAAAGGATATGACCACTAAGAATAAATGGATCTGATGTTTTAAAGTCACAGTGCCTACACTGATGAATCTTCCTACCCTTATGAATATCACTGTGTTTTTTAAGCTCAGAAGGACGATGGAAACCTTTATCACAGACTTCACATTTGTGAGGAAAGTCCTTGGTATGGACAGATATGATGTGCCGCTTAAGGTCACTTGAGTTGGTGCTCTTATGATCACAATGAGGACATTGGTGTGTTTTATGTCCTTGAAACAAATCCAGATGGCGTTGAAGCTCTCTCTCATCACCAAATGCTTGTGGACAATGCTCACATTTATATGCCAAGTTGTTACCATGCTTAGACTTAATGTGAGTTTTCAGATTTGATTGATCTGCACACCTGAAGACACAATACTGACACTGATATGGCTTCTCACCAGTATGTGTTCTCATATGTTTCTTGAGTTCAGAAGGATGACGAAAACCTTTTCCACACTCAACACAAACATGAGGAAAATTCTTGCTATGAACGGCCAGCAAATGTCTATTTAACAGTCCTTGTTCAGCAGTTTCATAATCACAGTACTTGCACTTGTGTGTCTTCTGCTCCTTGTCTCTTAAAATAAGTTTATTTGAATTCAGTGGACTAGCTTCTCTGTATCTTCGGGTGTATTCTGTAAATTCATGGGCCTTATCAACTTTGTTTATGAGCTTATGGCTTTCTAAGTGGTTATGGAAACTCACTTTCTTGTTAGTTGTACAGTCACAATCTGTACACTGATACTTCTTTCTCATCAAATGATCAGGATGATTCTTCATATGTCTTTTTTAAGAATCCCCTGGATTTAAACTTTTTTGTGCAAATATGACAAGGGTATACTGTCAAGGGCTGTCCATCAGGACCTATTATAACAGCTAGATGGGAAAAAAAGAGAATTGTGACATTTAATCACACTGCTTTAAAAGATTTTGTAAAACAGATTCCTGAAGCTACGTGAAATTCACTATATGAAAATACTACTTGAATAAAAGCCTTATATGATAAAAGTGCATAGGATAAATTTTCTGTAGTAAAGCTGATTACTGAGTAATGAGTGGCTTTTTATTGCACACTACTCATCTATGATATGAAATATAAAAGAAGAATCAAGCACCTTCATAATTCAACCCATCTCTAATTTGTCTTTAAAATATTTTTTAAATGAGGAAGAAATAAGCCTTTTGAAAGCACCAATCACATATTCTTAAAATACAATTATCAAAGCTGGAGAAACAGCTTAGTGGTTGCTGCTCTTGCAGAGGATCTTAGTTAGGTTCTCAACACTCATGTCAGACAGCTCACAACTACCTGCAACTCCAGGTGCAGTGGTTCCAACATTCTCTTTGGGCCTTCACAAACACCTGCACATACACATACATACACATATGCACACATACACACACAGAATTAAAATAAATCTTAATATATATTTATATTATAAATTATAATATTAAATCATCATATTAAATATTATGTTTATTAAAGATTATATTTAATTATTATATTTATTAAATAGTATATTTATATTATTTTGTTGTATATGAATTTTATTATGATATATTATAAATTATAACATTTATAATATCAACATATATGTAACTATATATAATTCTTACTGTATTTCATAAAATTGTGTATCTCAAATTACTATAACATTCAGAAAATAAAAATATCTCACCTGTTTGCCACTGCCTTGTTTCTCCTCTTCTCCTCTTCTTGATCTTTTGTTTAAGCACTTTATTTGAGTTAATGCTGTCACAAATTTGAAGGTACTGTGCTGCTGAAGTGTTTCTGTTTTCTAATGCCGAGTCAAAAGTGTTTCCTGAAAAGAAAAAGATAAACTGCTCAACTGCATGTATTTATATGGGGGGGGGGTTGTTAGATAAATTATTTTAGGTGATATGGTGCTAAGTTATGGTGTTAAATTTTACAAAGTATACACATTTCCTCATTCTCCTTAATTTATTTCATACCCTCTTGTGTACATGTAATCACATTGAGTACAACAGTACACAAATTTAGTTATTTCAGCATGCACATCCTAAAGGAATACACTGATAAGATTAATGTAACATAATAAACTATTCAAATTTATGGCATCAGACTAACTTCTCAGAAATAGACCTGAAGAAATTGAAGGAATTTGGCAAGGAACATATATAACTAAGTTAATCAATATAGTCATGGTAGTTATATGTAAAAAAGATTATACATGTATGTTTTAGAATTATATAAGATATGAAATTTATGTTTAGATTAACTTCAGGGATTAAAATAGACGTGACAATTTACTGCAATTTCAATATGATCAGTGCATACAAAATAAATATTTGATAAAACAAGTTCTCACAAAACTATCATAGCATACAATTATATTGTGATGGTTTGAATAAGTATGGGCTCTATAGGCTCATATGTTTGAATGTTTGGTTTTCAGTTAGAGGGACTGTTTGGGAAGGATCAGGAGCTTTGGCCTTGTTGGAGGAGGTAGTCTGGCCTTGTAGGGGGAGGCAGAGGTGAGCTTTGAGATATCAAAACCCCACCCTAAGGACTGTTTCTCTCTCTGTGCTGGCCTGACTCCTTATGGATCAGGATGTTAAGTACTCATCTCCAAGCCTACTTGCTTATTTGCCTGCTGCCATGTTTTCTGCCATGATGATAATGGATGGGCTAATCCTCTGAAACTGAAACCAATCCTCCAATTAAATAATGTATTTAATAAGAGTTGAGTTGGTCACAGCAATAGAATAGGAACTAAGACATACATTAAAATGCAAATCTACAAGACTATCAGACTAGTATATATGCTGTGATATGTCTTTTTAATTTGTGTTAAACCTACATTTAAGTTTAGAGTCAAACTGTGCAATGAAAGAAACAGAACAAGACTAAATAGACTGTATTCAACTAAATAAGTTATTAAGCTTGGACTTGGATTTGATATTCATATATAATATTAATATAATATTATAATAATTAATATTATATATATGCATATATATAATATCCTTGCCATGAAATTCAAAAAGGCAGTCTTACTCAAAAAAATGACACATAGTAAATTGTTGATATATTTCTCTTCAAGTAATTTGTTTAATTTTTTTTCTATAGTAACCTTTTATGGTCCCTGTGGTAAATTACCTAATAATTGTATCATCATAGAAATTTAAAATGGCTTTCAGTCACAAATTAATACACATTGTATTTATATATGTTGGTTGTTAAAAAGAGGCAAACTCCTACATAACTTCTACAATAGGTGAAGATCAACAAATGTGTCTACAAACACAAGCTAGTTTTTATTTATGAAGTAGTATATAAAACCAAACATTTAACTTATGTCTCCTATACAATGGTCTCTCACCTGGTGCTTGACAGTCTTCATATCTTCGCGAAACTCTTCTTTCATCTATTTAAAAAAAAAAAGTCTAGTTATAAATTGATATATACTTGGGAATCTACTACCAGATTACATTTTAATCTCTAAAATTATAATTTTGTCAGCAATTTCTCAATAAAATACACTTGTTCTTGAAACTTTTCTAAGTGAGATAATCTCTTTCACTGAAAATAGAGACTACTATCTGGTTCTTTAGAACTGATAATATCTAGAACAGTTTTACATCTTCAGTGAAAACTTGAGTAGCTATTTTTCCAGAGTATCCTTAGAAATGAAGATGTTCAATACAGGTATGACTGCTGAATGAAGAAAACTCTGAAAGAACTAACTGAATAAATTAATGCATTGTACACCAAAAAATTTTAAAGTATACATTACATAAAAATGAGATTAACAAAAGACAGAATGGGGGTTTTAAAAACTTGATGAATTAACATACATTCTAAAGAATCTGATTTTTCCAGAACTTCAATTTTATTCTGTGTGTCAACAATTGAAATATCGTTTTGTAAAATGGGAAGGTTTAATTTTTAAAAATACTATTATTTTAGGAAAATAAAATATTTTATGGTACTCACTTATAGCGGTAGGATTTAGAACAGAGATCCTAACAAAAATGCATCAAGCAAGGTTTAGTAGCTTAAGATATGCGATAGAAAAAATCATGGAAATTAACTGGAGATGAATCAATTCACAGCATAACATTTTATTCAATTAGCCAAACACAGTGGCTTTATAGCACAGAATATTTAATTGCTCAAAGGTACAGTAAATACATTCTTTATGCACTTAGGTAAACATTCTAGTGTCCTACCATATGATGCAGGATAGACAACAGGGGAAACTGTTTTATTAACATCAGAGTTCTCAAGCTGAATCTCGAGGAGAGTTCTTTCCTCTTCCCCTACAGTGACTTCCATGTACAGTTCATTTGGTATTTCAGCATTACCTAAATTTTGGAAATAATTGCTTGTTTACAAACTCAAGCATTTAATAAATGGGCAAAAAATTCCAAACAATTTAAATCTTTAGGTTTTCAAGATTTCATCTTAATTTCAAATGTATAAGTTTAAATTAAGTTTATATTTGGTATTTTTGGAAGCTAGTGCTTCTAGAAGACATTTGTTTCCCCAAATTAATATCTTTCTATATTAGAAACAAGTGCTATTAAAATGGCTTCTTTATGAGACAAAGTCTTGCTTTGCAATGAAAGCTGGTATAAAACTTGCAATCTTACTGTTTCAGCCTTCTATGTCCTGGAATTACAGCCATGCACCATCATGCCTGGCTTTGAAATGACTTTTAAATTTACAAAATATGTGTGCTTGGAAAGAGTATTATAACTCATTGAGAGATTGGAAATTTATAAAAGAAGTGTTATTACATAAATTTTCCTGAGTTCTTTGGAACTCAGAAAATATTTTCAATGAATACAACATTATAAAATAACATACTTTCCCACACTATTTTGATAGTATTGTATGTATAATGATAATGTTAATTATCAATATACTAGTCATTGAATAAACTTTTAAAAATTATTAAAATTATATATGTATATACATACATATGTACATACAAATATAAACATAAAATGTTATTGCTCAAGAATTAGTAGACCTTCTTCAAGAAGCAGGACTTTTAAGTACACTACTAAGAGGAAAAAAAAGACATATTTAAAGATAATAGTATTGGGGTTTAAAATATTTAAACCTAAAGACAAAATTTTTATGGCTTCTGTGATAAATATTTCTATTTGATATTATAAATATATCATCAAATTTAATGTATGGTTTTCCTATAATTTAAAAACTTGGGTCTTCTATTTACTATAGAAGAAATGTATAAATACAAGACACCAGTCTGTTTTCCACATTCCTACCAAATTCTGACATTAGATAAACCTATACTAGTTTCCCATCTCCTACCATACCTCTTAATTAGTGAGTTAAAAATGATAAGTTTTTTTTTAATTTATTTATGTAGTATTTTGCCTGTATGTGAGCTTGCAGGCCAGAAGAGAGCACCAGATCTCATTACAGATGATTAAGAGCCAACACATGGTCATTGGGAATTGAACTCAGGAACTTTGGAAGAACAGACAGTGCTCTTAACCTCTGAGCCAAAAACCCATATGGTATACACTCATTTATAAGTGGGTATTAGCCATATAATATAGGATATATATATATATATATATACTAAAATCTACAGCGATAAAGAAGCTAAACAAGGAGGACCTTAGGGAAGATGCTTAATCTTATTTCAGAATGGCAAACAGGATAGACATCAGAAGTAGGAGAAGACAAGGAACAGGACAGGAGCCTTCCACAGAGGATTTCTAAAAGACTACCCACCAAGGTATCGAAGGAGATACTGAGGCTCGTAATTGTACTTTGGGCAGAGTGCTGTAATGCTTATGGAAGAAGAGGGAGATAGAGAGACCTGGAAGGGACAGGAACTCTACAAGGAAAAAGATAGAGCCAAAAAACCTGGGCCCAGGGAGGCCAGCAGAGACTGCTACTCCAACCAAGGACCATTCATGAAGAGAGGACCTAGACCCCTTGTTCAGCGGAAGCACATAGGCTGCTCAGTTTCCAAGTGGGTCCCTAGTAAGGGGTACAGGGCCTGTTTTTGACAGGAATTCAGTTGCTGGCTCTTTGATCACCTTCCCCTGGGGGTGCAGTCTTGACAGGCTACAGAGGAAGATGATGCAACCAGCTTTGATGAGACCTGATAGGCTAGGGTCAGAGAGAAGGGGAGGAGATCCTCCCCTATCAGGCGACTAGGGAAAGGGCATAGGGGGACAAGAGGGAGGGTGGGTGGGACTGCGACTATATGAGGGAAGGGGCTGCAGTGGGGATACAATGTGAATAAATTGTAATAAATAAATAATAAAATAAAAATTTTAAAAATGATAAGATTTTTAAATGAAACAAACATTATTTAAATAAACATTTTTGGTCCCAACTCAAGTTCTTTGCAGCTAATGTTTTCTTAGTTTCAGCTGTGATATGGAAGTAGAATTCAGATATCTATAGTTACTAGAGAAAGACATGAAGAGTAGTTATTTGAGTGCAACATAAGTACAAGACAGCACTATACAGGTAATTCTGTGAAAAGGAGCCTCGTGCCATTCTGCAATAAACAAAATAGTGTTTTGTGAGCCTGGCATGGAAACAGTTCTAACCTTAAAGAACACCTGAATAATGAAATGAAGACAATGTAGGAAAATAATAAAATGTCTTCATGAAAAATAAACAACTAAAAGCATGAAAAATGACAAAAAAACAAATATGAATAGGATTTTTATTCTATGATCCTCAGCCCCAAGAAACCCTAGTAGCAAGTACCTGTGAACAGCATAATAACTTAACATCCTGGCAGAACGGTTTATATAAATACTTACCAACCTAAGCTCTCAGTGACAGGAAATCAACCAATTAGCCCTTCCACTGCTAAATCTAGATATGCCAAAAGTGCTTACTGTCATGTGGAGAACACAATGGAAGTAGAGCTACACAAGACTTTAAGTTGTAGTATTGTAAAGGTCTTGGGCAACTTACTTTCCCTGAGGCTTTACTTATCTTACAAATAAGAATATTTTATACCTCAGAGATTATTAAAATCAAATGAAACTAAACAGATCTAAAGATTTTAATGTTTTTAAAATTTATGTGTGTGTGTGTGAGTTCATGTGCACCACATGAATGCATGTACACATGTAGGCCAGAAGAGTGTGTTGGATCCCTTGGAGCTAGAGTTGTAACAGGTGATTATAATCTGCCTGAGCTAGGTACTAAAACTGAACATGGGTCCTTCCAAAAGCAGTGAGTGCTTTTAACTACTGAACCATCTCTCCAGCCCCAATAAAACAAATATAATTATATATGCATAATACATAATATGATTCAGTTTCTATATATTTGTTAATTTCATTACATCAAAAACTACAAAGTCTTCATCTGTTTGTAACATATTATTTGAGATGTAGAGTTCATGTATTCTTATCTGAAAATACACTGGTTCAGGAATGTCTAAAAGGACCCATTCTTTTAGGAACTTGAAAGAAGGGGCTTATTTTTTTCTAACTTTGCCATTATTAGCTTTTAATACTACTTATTTAATATATCTATTGTTGTTATCAATTACTTTTAAAGTTATATTACTGCTTCTTATAAATCAATGCTGTGCCCTTTTATCTTACTGATATCATCCTCTTCTTGGGAAGAATCTTTAACTGCCATGTAAACCATTTTCTCTCGCTGCATTCGGTTCTGGTCAAGCACTCCAGCTACAGAATGTCCACTGGTGTATTCACTCTCTGTGACAATTTCTGTCCCACCTTAAAAATTAAAACACAAGTAAACTAGAAACATATCATAGACTAAATCCTTGAATTAATGAGTATACACACACACACACACACACACACACACACACACACACGGCATATAAATAATCTAACAAACTTCAAAGTGCCATTAAAATAGTCACGTAACTTATATTTTAAACATTTATAGCTCACTTCAGTTGATAACAGTGATATAACATATTTCATATACTATAAAACTTTTATATATATTTACCCATTTATGTCTCATAAAATCCCTACTAAGTAGTCATTATCATGGCCATCATATGGATGAAGAAACAAGGCAGAAGGAGATCATACAAGTTTTTGAAGGTTTTTCTCAGTTAAGTACTAATAAGTAGTGGGTTTAAAATCCAAATTATCCACCTCTGGCATCAGTGCTCTTACACATTCATCATAATCTTTATTCTAATACAAATTATTTTCAGGTTTTAAAAATTTTTGCCATAATAGATTCATATCTAAAAGAATCTAAGAGTAGCATCTTTCCCATTGCCACTTTACATGTAAATATGCATATACAGTTTTTAAAATACACTGAAATGCTTATGAACATTTTTGTCTTTTGAGAAATCTTAGGATAATACCCATGAAAGAATTCTAATATCTCATATCATGGAATTAAAATAGCTTATACCTATTTCAACATCATCTTCAGCCTCTGCTTTAAATATATATACTTTTATCACTTCTGAACCAAATCCATCTTCTTTAACATCTTCTTGTGAACCATCACTACCAATTTTTTAATGGTGTGTTTCCCATATGCTCCAACTTCTCTCCCACATCATCCACTGAAATATAAAGGAAACTATTTCAATCAAAAAGTTCCAATGACATTTAATAAGTGTTAAGCACAATGTCAAAATAAAACAATGTTTAACCACCTCCTATTATATTCCCTTAGTTACCTATTATGCAGTCACTAAAATGGTTATTATAGGATCAAAACTACTTTGAAATATTTTAAATTAAATGAATATTAACCAAACCATGTTTCTGTATAAGGAGCATTTAAATTTAAAATAGCAAACAAGTATTTAGGTAGGCCATTTTTCTTGAATATGACTTATGATTTTGGCAGTGTATGAGTATTTATTCACTGAAGTCCACATATAGTTCCCCTGTTATATTAACGTGATTCTTAAAGCTGCAGGGAATACATTTTTAATATGTGATGACTTACTTGCGTTTTCCTGTCTTTTCATATTCACTGAATCATCAGGCTATCTATTTTAGCATTTGATTCACATATAATTCTGATATAAAGCATAGCGTGCATTTTAAATAAAATGCTATCACTAAAATCAGTATCAGAAAATAATACATGAGGGGAAAAGGATCTAGACAGTCTTCATGAGAGCTGATAGGCTAGAGTCAGATAGTAGGGGAGGAAGTTCTCCCATATCAATTGACTAGGGGAGAGACTGGTGGCAGGGAAGAAGGAGGGAGGGAGTGGGAGAGGGGGCTACAGCTGGGATACAAAGTGAATAATTTATAAATAAGAATAATAAAAAAGAAAACAATACGAGTCATAAAATAAGTTCACATAAGCAAATTCCAAATTAAAAAGCAGTTGTTTCTAAAACAAATTAATGTATCAAATCTATTATTTTAAATGATGAGATAAAACATGTCCAAATGAATTTAGGAAAAAGAACTGTTAATAAATCTTCTATGAGCTCAAATTTCTGTTGAGGCATTTGAAGAACAAACTTCATCTGTGTGTAAATTTAGTAACATATGCTTCGTTTTAAAAGCATAAATGAAGAAAATAACTAACAGCATGGAACTTTTTCCTGATTACAAATCTGATGCTTCAGAGTATACAAAAAAGTAGTATAAAAAGGTAAAGCAACAGTATTTGGGACTACTACTAATCTTCAATATACGTACAGAATTTTATTCCGCTCTAGTCTCTGAGTATGATATGGCATGTCACATGAATACTATACATGAACTATATAATATATTTTATTAATAATCTTATAATAGCCATAACTAATATTCAAGCAACATATCCCCTATAAATGTCTCTAGTATTTTAATTTCAATCCTGTTCCTGTAAAAACTAAAGCATAATCTAAACCTAAATCATGCTATTATATATTTCAAAATACCACACAAAAAATAAAATACTGAAGTTCTTGAATATAGCTAAAAAGTTTAGAACTATGAAAAATAAAATAAAATGCATTAAAGAGCTACAACCTTGATCTTCGGTGCTTGAAACATCTTGGTTACTAAGGCAGATCTAAATGAGTCCAAGTCTACATTCTCCCTAGATCAGTTTCAAGTTTAGTATGTCATCAAAATGTTGTTTTGCCCATATGAAATGGAAATCATATTTGAAGACAAATGGATGGAAGTAGGAAAGGTCATCCTGAGTGAGGTAACTCAGAAGCAGAAAGACACATGGTATATTCTCACTTATATGCAGATATTAGCTATATAATATAAGATAAACATACTAAAATCTATAGTCCTAAAGAATCTAAATAACAAGGAGGACCCTAGGGAAGATGCTTAATCCTCATTCAGAAGTGCAAACAGGATAGACATTGGAAGTAGGAGAAGACAAGAAACAGGAAAATAGCCTTTCACAGAGGGCCTTTGAAAGACTCTTCTATCAGTGTATCAAAGGAAATGCTGAGACTCATAGCCAAACTTTGGGCAGAATGCAGGGAACCTTATGGAAGAAGCGGGAAATAGAAAGACCTGGAGGGGACAGGCACTCCTCAAGGAGACCAACAGAGCCAAAAAAAAATCTGGGCCCAGGGGTTCTGCAGATACCGAAACTCCAATCAAAGACCATGCACGGAGAGGACCTAGACTCACTGTTCAGAGGAAGCCCATAGGCTGCTCAGTTTCCAAGTGTGCTCCCTAGTACAGGGACATGACATGAACTCAGTGATTGAGCACCTCCCCCTGGGGAGTGCAGCCTTGCCAGGACATGGAGGAAGATGATGCAGCCAGCCTTGAGGAGACCTGAGAGCCTAGGAGGTCCTCCCCTATCAAGGGACTAGGGAAAGTACATGGGGGAAAAGAGAGAAAAGAGAGGGAGAGGGGGGTGGGTCTGGTAGGAGATGAAGAAGGGGGCTGCAGTGGGGATACTAAGTGAACAAATTGTAATTAATTAA